CCCCAAAACCCCAAAACCCCAAAACCCCAAAACCCCTCTTAATTTTAATTATATTGAAATAAAATGGAAAAATATAAGACCTCTGAGAAAATAGAGCAGTGGATTAAGGACAAGATGACCCACAAGCTCATCAACACCAAGAGGTATGCACGCAACTATATTATAGAAACAAAGACAAATAATAGTCTCAATAAGGTCTTTAATAAATACGACTCCTTAATGAGCAAGTATAAAATCTCAGCAGACCAGAACAAAGCTCTTAGGACCAATAAATCTCAAAAGAAAGTCAATGCAAATGGCTTACAGGGAAAACATATGAGGACTATTGATACTAAGAGGGTCTTCCCGAGTACTAACAAGAGTGGACATGATCCTTATAAAATTCAAAATGTGTTCAATAAACGAAAGGTATATTTATTCCATTACTTTACTGGAATTCTGAACGGTTTTGATAGATAAGCTCACCCTCCCCACACTTGAACAACGTGAATTCTTATATAAATTATAACCAACACTCCAACTTCCCTCAAAGTCCTTCTTCTTGAAGCAAATAAAAGTCATAATCTGAGTTCTGAGAATCTTAAAAATCTGAAATCTAATCGTTCAAAGCGCAAGGCGCTTTATCGAGAAAGAAGTGACCAGGGATCTCTTAAGATCTCCCCAACAACGCCTACAGCTCCAAATCCAACATTCAGCCAAAAGAAAGGAAAATTTATTCTCCCCGCAACTGAGGCTTCTAGGAGACGTAATCTATTCAAAGACAAAAATTGGTAAGAACTATCAACTTCCTCTTGGACCTAAAATCCCATATTTCCTGAATAAAAATTAAGCAATCCTTAGTTCATCCAATTCAAACCACCTGCGTTCCCAAAGCATTGAATCCCAAATTTCCCCAAACCTCAAAGTAAACATCTGGGCAAATGAGCAGAAGAACAAGATTCATCGGTACAGGAAAACTGAAGAAATGAGAGGAGTCCTTAACCGCCAGAAGGAAGAAAAGTTAGCTAGAGAAGCCCTACAGCAACAAAATACTAGTAAATTCCAGCTTTAATTCTCTTAGAAAAGGAACTACTCGAGATGCAGGATAAGATAAAACATTACCAAGAAGAACTTAAGACAGAGGCCAAGAGGAGAAGTTACAAAAAGAGCCAAGAGAAAGGGTTTATGGAAGAGAGTAAGAATCTCTACCAACTCAACAAGAAATTACACAAAGAGCTTGACAGGATGGAAACCATGAAGGAAAATCCTAAATATTTAGTAAATAGAGACCAACAAGAACGCAGTATGGCTTAGGATTTGACTGAGATTTAGAACTGTCCCATAAATAGAAGTTATGCCAGGAAGGCCCTTGATTCCTACTATTTAAGCCAGATTCAAGAAAATAGACTGTATTCTTCGTATTTAATTCCATAGAAGAAGCAGCCAGCTTAAAAAGATTGATCAAGATATGGCCAATAATACAAGGTCATTCTTGGAGAAACTTAATGATCAAAATGAGAAAGACCATAAAGCAAAGATAAAGAACTGCTTGGAAAAGAACCAAAAGAGACAAGATATATTGAAATCTCTCCTTCCTAAAGATCCTCTTGAAGATGATATCTCAAGAAATGAAATCCCTGGCCTTATTCAGTTGCAAAATTACAGAGAAGTCAAACGAAACAGAGAAACTAAAGCAGTCAGTTTATATAATGCCATGTCTCTACAAGGAAAGAAGAAACATCTTACCAAACTTCCCAGAATAATTGATAAAGACAGTAGTACTGGATTATTATGGTATAATCTCCCCAGCTAAATTCTATAGGGATTCCAACTCTCATTTAGACACCATCATTAAGAAGGGAAAACTCAATCAAGAAGGCCTAAAATACTTAAGAATGAATCCTTTAGAGAAGAGAAAAGATATAGATAGCACCTTGAAAGCAATGATATCCCAAAAAGATCAGAAAAAGCGTGATCAGAAGGTCCTAGACGCTGAAGAATATATCGAGACCAACAAAGAAATGTATTATCCTCAAGGCCTAGAACTATTCTAGTTGCAATAAATATAATCCAAAATGGGGTTTTGGGGTTTTGGGGTTTTGGGGTTTTGGGG